CCCCCCCCCCCAAAAGCTCTCTCCGAGCACTTGGCCAGACCATTAGGGTGTGGCTTAGGTATCATTGTCTTTGTTAATGACCCAGTCATTAAAAGGATGACCGGCAATTAATGTATCCCAGMAACAAATGGGAAAGAAAAAATTCCCAAAGAAAGGGAACAAAAGGAGAAGAATTTTTAACCCACAACACTTGTTTTTGGTAATGCCTAAATGTTTGCTTTCAAAAGAATTCCAGTAATGATTAAAATACTGAGTATACAAATCTACAAAACTGCTCTCTTTCTTTAGGTATGGAGAGGATGCTGGCCATGCTACTGACGATGCTGTGAATTCTGCAATCAATGTTGGTGTGGCAGCATTTAACATTGAAAATATCGGTATCAAATCTGTTGTAAAGAGAACTGCAAAGGAAACCGGCCATGCTGTGCTAGATGAATACAAAGTATTGGATCATGAGAAGAAGGGCAAAAAGTGAAAGCAATTAAATATTTTTCAAAGCCGTACATTAGAGATGAAACTTCCTATTTAGAAGTAACTACATTGCTCATCTGAGTTTGAACATGTCACACTGTACTGTTCAAGCAACTGTTACTTCTGCATTTTCATGTCAAATTAAGTAGGGAGAGCATTCATAGGAGAAAAAATGAAAGTTGTCAGCTCCTTGTTCTGTACTGAACAARGGGTTATAACAACTGGATCAGGGTTTTAGGCAACAGGAACGATATCAGTTTGCAGTTCATATACTTGCCTCTTTAAGCACTTTTTCAAAATAATATATGGAATAATAGATTAATATAAAAATACTACTGTGAATATTTTTGTAGCAACTTATATTTATAAAGAGGGTGGTGTAACAGAAAAACTAAGATTAATAACTGTGGAACAAGGAAAATTAGGAGTTTTGGCTTTATAACTATCCTTAAGAGTTAGTTTTACTAACCCAGCCTTGTCTTATTTAGTATGCACTACTAAAATAATTATTGCATTTAATTGTTTTATATAGAATTTCTCTTTTCACCTACAAAATGGCTGATCTTATCCAAAGTTCATGTTAGGAGAAATGAAAGATGAACCTCAGGTAACTAGGTAGCCATTCCCTTTCAGACTTTTTTTCTCATCCAGCATATAAGTAAACCAAAGATACTAAGCATCTCTTCTAAAAGAGGGTATATACAGGTCTAGAAAAATGCAGTTTCCAGTTGACTCCGTAAGGAATATACAAAGCTGCTTTGAAATTCATGTTTTTATTAGAGAGGATAAGTATGCTTTTGCATAAATTATTTTTCTGTGGCAATACTCTGTAGGGGGCACTGGGAAATTCTATGCCTTCTGTACTTTTTAGCCAATGATAAGAAAGATCAGACCAGAAGGATTCAGATTATTTATCATGGACTCCTAATGGGAGACTCATAGTGTTTGAACAAATAGTTCTAATGGTCCTTGTCTTTATTCCATTAAATTCATAGTTGCAAAAGGGTGTGAACTCTTTAAAAAGAATATGAAGAAAAACCCTTTTAATGAAGAGTGGTGTAGAATAGACACAACTGTGTAGATTTGCCATCATGTTTGTACCACAGTGTAAAATAACTCAGTATGTCAAATCCTTGAGATGCTTTGACACTGCTACTTATTTAACACTTCACTATTGAGTTTTAAAGCTGCTGCACATTCTAATATTGGCTGGACCTGTAACAGACAGAATGCCAGCAACTCAGAACTTACCTCCATTTCATGCAAATGGAGAAAATAACTATAAACTGTTGCTGGCAAAGTGATATATGTAGAAGATTGAAAGAATTCAGTAACAACTATAGTCTCTTAGAATGGTAATAGATGCATATTTTGTGGAAGCTACTGCAGGGCTGTGCTTAAGGTGAGAAATGTGAAAGGATCTAACCACTTGAAGTGTAACTTTGATTTATGGAAATAAAGATAAAATTGGTTAATCTGTGTTTGATCTTTTTTATATGAAGCTCCTATATGGATCTGCGAGTGGAAAAACTAGAACCTCTTCAGAAGTTATAAAGTAGAAGTATTGGATTATGTCTACAGTATAAACAAGCTCATCAACTAGAGCCTAAACTATTTCAAACTAAAAAGGTCCACCCAAAGTACACTGCAACAATTTCTGTTACTATACATTCACCAGCTTGTGTAACCAGTTAAAGATTGCTAAAGACTTCATACTAGCAAAAGCATTTTTGTTGCTATGAACTGTATTTAAAATAGGGATGTATGCATTTGTGTACTCCTCCCTCCCATTTCAGGTTTTGCATATAGCTCATAACCTTTTAGGTTCCTCTATAAGCCATCAAAACAAAAAGTTGTGTTAAAACAACAGTTAGATCAAGGTGTTACAGTCTTCAAGAGACGAAGCTGGAGCACACTGAGGAAAAAAAAGTACCATCGGTATCAGGCAAGTAGTGGTGTCCTGCTTAATCAGCAGTTAAGGTTATTAGCTCACTAGTGATACTTCAGTCAAGCAGTTGTACTTCTGATCACCCCACTTTAAGCCTGATAGCACAACCAGTTTTCCAGCATCCTTATGACCCAGTTATCCCATCTAGAATTCACCCATTTGGCTATAAAAGTACTGTGGGAGACTACATCAAGTCCTTGGTAAAGGCAGAATATACAATATCCACAAGTTTCCCCTTGCTTACACAGCCATTCATCAAACCTTAATTACTGCTAAATGCTACAGAAATAACTACTTTGTAAAAATTAATTTATGCCTTCAGCAACTAGTCTACCTTATTTTTAAATAACTCTAGCTGTTTAATGCCTTCACATAATCTGAAGTTACATATTTAAGTATAAAATTCTGTTTTCAAAATACATTTTGTTGTGACCAGGTTTCCTAACTGTTCTCACTAAAATTTTTGATCTCAAACCCATTAAAAGCCTTAAAACGATAATAATGCCTTTAGTGCTATCCCTATATCTAATTTTAACCGATTTATGTGGAATACAGAAATGGAAGAAAATTATCATGTGTTGAACGTGTCACTATGTTACCGCTGTGATTGTTAAAAATATTGATGGTTTGAAGTTTTACACACACAAAACCTCAGTCCACAAGACACTTTGCTCTTACTCCAATTCCCAAACTGTCAGGCAAAGCACCCAGTTAGATCTGCTGTGCTGTGCCAATGCAGCCACTGTGGTCTGGGCTCAACCTTATATGCACAGTGACCTGGTCCTGAGAGCTCCTGGTTAAGACACTTAGTAATTCCTGGGTGAGGGTGGGACCTGAAAGTATCCTGGAGAGGAGGTCAAATAAAAGTCTCCTGGAGCAATGAGAGTACACTGTGGGCTGGGATACAGCCSTCAATGCCCCTGTGCCCTCTGTTCTCAGATTTCCTTGTGATTCCAGGGCTCTTTCTGAGCTTTCTGAATGTGCCCACCCATTGAAAACAATTCATCAGGCTGGTTAAATTAATTTTTGAAGCAGTTCACAAAAACTGGTAACAAGGAAAATAGTCACTGAATAAAGCCTTTGCTGTTAATATTCACTACACTCAGTGAGTTACAAATGCTAACCTAGGTCCAAGTCGTTACTTAAATTACTGGTTTGTTATGAAATGTGTTTTCAATATGAATTTTAAAAAGGTAGCATTCAGGAAAACATGAAGGCAAAATAAGCAGCTAAATTTAAATGCAGTTACAGTGCAACACTCTTCTAAATTTGTTTCTTGATAAAATTATATCAGAAAATTTTGAATTCAGCCCACACCAAAGATGATAATTCACTGATTAGCTGATAGCATCAGTTATAACTTGAGACTCAAAAATCATCTCCTGCTCTAATATATAGACAAGTGAAATTAAATTTACTTTTTCTTCTTATAATCAAGCTTCCCACTTCATGACTCCCAGTCATTAGATCCTGCTGGATCAGTGCCCTGCTGTTGCAGTATCAATGAGGTGTTAGATTGGGCAAATCCACTTTAGGATTGCAGTTCACAACATTTGACTGACTTTTGGATGGCAATACTGATTCATGCTGTGTTAAAGTAATGGTAATACATAACGCATGTTTTAAACTTTTAAAGCAGTTCATCTGTTACCCAGCAAGTGGTAGGGCTATGGCATTTGGCTTGCTACTCATGCAACAGAATTACTTGAACTGAGAAAACCATACCCTTTTTCATAATATATCAGTAAAGGAAAATTACAGTCCACCTCCTTCCTCAGAAAGTGAGCAGATAGTTCCTCTTGTAAGCATTGGGTCCTGTGAAATGGTGAGTTGATCTAAGAGCACACTAATTACTCCCAGTTTCACTCTGTCCCTTGCATCAAGTCTGGTGATTTTCCCTGCAGCTGGTGAGCCACTTCAGATCACCAACTAGCAGAAACTGCTAACATTAAACATTTTCCCTGATGTAAGTTTTCTGTGTTTCAGGAGCTGTACTGGCTCATTGAAGAGCCACACAAATGTCAAGAGCTGGCACTGAARCAGCCAGAGAAGGTGACAGGGTGAATCTGACAGAGGTGATACCACTCTAGCAGCATTAATCTCATTAATTTATTCCATAAAGATTTACCTTGAGAAATTCACGAACTGATCTGAAAGTCCTTGTTTGAAAAATACAACATCAAACATTTTTAGGCATGAATCCAGATCAATGCAAGATAATTAAAATATTTTCCAGTGCATATCTGTGATAAACACGTATAGTGTTGGCTTTCGCAGAGGTTAAAAAAAAAAAAAAAAAAAAAAAAAAAAAAAAGGATGCTATGTATGGTGCATTATAATGTTGTCTTACTTGTAGAAGTTTAGTTATGTAAACACGATTATGAAATAATTACTGTTATTTTCTTTGTAATTCAGATTGTAGTTATAGAATACTTTTGAAATATTGTAGAATATGATTTAAACTTTTCTGTGTAGGATTTTTCTTGCACATTATAGCAAAACTATACAAGAAGCTGCAATTACACTGACCAAAATATAAGAAAAGGAGAAAGGAATGCATGAGAAAAGGATCACCTTCCCCAAGGCTATCAACACAGAACCTGACCTACTAGAGGAATGCCATAATAGTTGCTTTGGTATGCATATTAGAAAAATATCTTGTCGGAGGAGCTTGTAAAACATCCATCGTTTGCGGCACAAGGAGTCTGGCTGGCAGGAGCACCAATCTTCGGATGGGCTTATCTGCATGGAAAGGTCAGGGATGTTGGGACCCCTGTTATAAATACTTCTCTATCGATAAAGACCATCTGCTGAAGTTGTGGAATAAGGGTCACACAAACATGACCCCAGGAGCATAAAACAAGACTGTAAAAAGGCGGATCCATGTTAAAGTTACAAAATAGGTTTAAATATGCATAAATGTCTCTGAATAGGCATTAGGCTGATGTAACACAGAATGTATTTAAAGAGGTTTCTATCCATATCCAGTGTGCCTCTGGCAGATCGCCAAGCACCCGGTGCCATATCTTTTTGCTTTTATGTACCCTATTGTCACTTATTAAAACCTTTTAAATTTTACCAGGAGAGTGAACCTCGTTTTTCACAAGATCGACTAACAATGTCGATTGATTGATGATATAATCATCAGTGATGATGATTAAGGTCGATTATTCTAAACTCTCCTGTCTCAAGTTAGGGTCTTACAGACTGATTTGTGCACAGCACAGGGYACAATTAAGAGGGTGCTAAAAGACAGGTTGGCACCCCGTAAGRCCAGGCTCCACCGCACTGTGCCTGCCTTCACGTGTGGGTCACAGCGTTTATTCAAAACTGTGCTACTTCCCAAACATCTGCACACATATGTGTTTTGCCAGGTAATGAAAAGCTCAGGACGTAGTTTAACCTGCAGGGTCAAAACCCTGTAACTGGACCAAAGCCGCACTCTGTTTCCCTCGTCCGTTTCTGGCGCTGCTCGAGCCCCACGCTGGACATTTCGGCGGACAGAGAACAGAACGGCTCTGTCGAACGCGGGGCCGTCGCAGCGGCGGCGGCGGGCGAGTACTGCTGCAAATGCGGGCGGACGGGACGGGACGTCGGGGCCCGGGAGAGGCGGAAGCAGTGAGTCCATGGGGGGACGCGGCACGGTCGGGCACGGGAGCGGCTCCGGGAGCGGCGCCGCAGCACCGCCCGTGCGGGACTCCCGCCGCCTCCCTGCGGCAAAATGGCGCTGCTGCCGCGGGCGGGGGAGCGGGCTGAGCYCGGCGTCGGCCCGGAGCCCCCTTCAGCTCGGCCCGGCAGTGCTGGGCACTGGGAAGGGCTGGCCCGAGGGCTGGCAGGGGCACGAGGAGTCCGAAGAAGCCGGATAAATAATGGCAGCCCTAAAGGGAGATAGGCCTGCTGCCGTGGTGAACCGCAGCAGGCAGCTCAGTACAACACAGCTGCTGGCTCCCTCCCCTGCCGGTGGGATGGGGAAGAAAAGCGCGGAAGGGTGAAAGTGACAACATTCGCGGTTAAGACAAAGACAGTTTAATAATTAAATGGAAAAAAAAGGAAAAAAGGGAAACATAAGAAAAGGAAATTATGCAAAAACACCCAGGTGCTCAGCACCAGTGGATCAATGCTTTCCTCGAGGCAAGGCAGCCGCAGCAAGCCGCAGCACCCCAATTTGTATTTGTGACTATGGTATGGGATATCCCTTTGGTCAGTAGCATCAGCAGTCCCGGCTGTGGCCCCTCCCAGTTCCTTACGCTCCCTCAGCCCACGGGCTGGTGGGGTGGGGTGAGAGGTAGAAAAAGCCCTGACACTGTAAACAGTGCTCAGCAGTAACCAAAACATGGCTGTGTAAACAACACAGTTTTTATCACAAATCCAAAAATAGGTCCCATACCAGCAACTGAGGAGAGAATTAAATGTGACCAAGGCAAGCCCAGTACCCTGTCATGGGAGACCACGTTGGGGAAAAAAATAGAGATCTTCACATGGGTGCATGCCTTGCTGCAGGAAGATTAATAGAATGGACAATGGGGCACTCTTCATGCACCCTTCTTTCCACAATGTTAAGTAAAACTGGAAAGCTGGGTTTCATCCTTCCCTATGGTCAGTAAATATCTCTCAGACCTCCAGGGAAGGTATGGCATCTCTGCAGTGCAGTTTGCAGGAATGAGGACTTGTTTCTGTTGRCAGTCCTGCTTAAGCAGCAGTTGTTTCAGTGATGATTGTTGATGCTCATGCCTCGTGGGATTGGGTTTTTCCCAGATTGCTTAGGAAGTTGCACATTTTTCCCTGTGTTAAACAACATGATTGCATTTTGAGTGTTAATAAATGAAAATAGGAAATGTCAGAAGCTCCTGTGCTGCCTTAATTCACACCCTTAATATTTACACTTCCATACCATTTTCAGGCTTTCTGTTCAAACTYTTTTTTTTTGCCTGAACAATGTTTCTTCCAGTGTCCGAGCTGTAGACCTCTTCAGGCTAGTCCTGAAAYTGCAGAATTTATTAAATGTTTATTTATGAATGGAAAGAGAAAACCCAATATAAACAAAAGTCAAAGAGTCAAAATGGCACAAAAAGGAGCTTGGACATWCTTGCATCAACGTGTAAGAAAATAACCCTTTAATAAATCTCCTGACTTAGTARTGTGTCCGGGTGATAGATCTATTATTCTCTGAATGCACTAGTTCTTTTACCTGACACTTGATCCTGATATTATTGGTGTTCAGGTAAAAAGCTGAGTTGTAAAGGCTTTGTTTCACTGCTCAGATTTTAATTTTTTTTTTAAATTAATAAAAGTCTGGGTTGTTTACTTACCTTAAGTTCTTGCTAATATCCCTGAGGATCTTCTGCAAGACTGTGTCCAAAGTCTAGGACAAGTTGTGGTGATTTATTTACTGATACAAGCAAAATATGTATTTAATAAAAACCTGTATTTTGAATGCCTGACAGCAAAAGACTTTCAGCTTCTTTTGGGTGCTACAGCTATTTCCTTTTTGTGCAAATAAACAATAACATTGCTGTCTATTTCCCTGGATTTATTTATTCAGCCTAATTGCCGATGACCAGGCTTGTTAGACACCTCCATCTAAACCAGTGGCATGTGTAGTCAATAAATACAGAAAGGCTTTTTGAAGGTGTGATTCATCTGACCTACTTTGGCTGTTCTAGCATGAGATGATTCACACCCTAGGAAGTGCCAGTTTCTCTCCCTTGGCTATAAAGCAAGCTGAGGATGAGTGGCTTGCTGATAGATGTCTGCATTCCTTCACTGCCATCTCACCCTTGTCGTCTTTTTAGTGGCATATCTGATTATTGTACCGTTCAGGCAGTTTGCTGACAGCCCACCTACCACCCTTATTTAGCAGTCATGAAGAGGAGATTTTTACCTCGTGTAGTAAATTGAGTCATCCATGTCCGTAAGGGGTCTGTTCCTAACGCACCTACTGCTTCTCAATGATTATGGATGTAGAAATCTCTCAAATTTTTTACACTGTAATGAAAGTCAGCTTAAATCTGACTCTGAATTGTTGTGATCAAGATTCAGTACATGTTTTGATCAGGAAATGTCATGGCAAATGTTTCTGGGAGAGTGAGAGAGAGAGAAGTCATGTAATACTGCAGTGTATTTCTTACAAGACAAAGAAGTCTTAAAGACATATTTTTATGCATGTCAGCTACTTAATAAYGTTGATGGAATTGTATGTTAATTCAGCTTGTGAGATTTCATTTCCTGTGGCCTTTCTTGCCAGGAAAGGTGCAGCATTTTCCCAGCACACTGCTGACTGCAAGTGTCAGGAATCTGTAGCCTTCAATATTGTGTGTGCTCTTCCATGTAGTGCCTCTGTACCRTGCAATATTGTTTCTGCTTTGTTGGTAGATTTTGAAGACATCTGTGCATTTTGTCTTCTACAGCACTCACTAACGCTCTGCCATATTGTAGAGCTGATGCCCTAGAACTAATGACTTGCCCTGAGCTTCTCCTGAGTGTTCTCTTCACTATAGAAAATCACTTCAGGCAGCATTTTGCCTGATACATGTTCCAGAGTAGCAAAATGTACAGGAAAATTGTTTTCATCCTAAGTGGCTCCCATTGTCAAGTAGACAGTCTTGAAAAGAAATCTAGCAGTTTTTTCTCTTTTGTAATTTCAATCAGAGCCTTCTTATCTGAACTGCACATTTTTTTCTCCTTCACAAGAGCTTTTTTTGTTATGCTTAGCATGCAAAGATATAGTTAGGTTCTCATGGTGACTTATATATGAGGTTTCAGGATTTGTTGTCCATTGACATGGAAAAGATTTATAAGCCTTGAATAGTCTAATTATGCTTAACATATGTGAGGTTGCAGATAAAATCACTGTGCAGTCCCTCTAGGTATGGACCAAGTCTGTGCAGGCAGGCAGCTATACACAGCTGCATTAAAATCATACTAACAGATACATGGAATGACCTTCACTTCCTGTCACTATTAGAAATAACTCCAGAAATGCAAAATAATCTAATACCTTGACACCCCCCCCCCCCCAAACTTCCCAAGCTGCTCAAAGTGATTTATTTCTACATTCCTTCTCTGTCAGGGCAGGGATTGCATTTTACTGAATATACACTGACTAAAATAGGGTGGTTTCACTCTGGATGCATTCTGGGTGCTGTTAAAGTATTAATAGCAATTATATATTTAAAAAAAACTGGTTTCTGTTGTCACATGGAAAAAAGACTTCCTGTCAGTGCAGCAATTACAATGTGATACCTGACAATTTACTATTTCTGTACATATATTCATCAAAACAAAACATTATTGGAATTTGGCTTCCACTCTTGTTAATGGTCCAGAAAGAATAATAAAATCTAATGAAAGAAATTTTGTATATAATCTTGAAATGGTAACAAATTGAAAACTGGAAACACTATATGTAAAGAACTCATTCTTCCTGTGTTATCCCTCTGCTTCTGAGCAGATTAAGATTTCTATGAAAAAACAATTTCATTTTGATACARCTCAGCTCTGGTTACAGCTTTGACTATTTCTGATTTTCAGTGTTATTTCTTTTCAAAAATCCCATTTTAGCCCTCACTGTCATCATAATTTCCTCTTTTCCAAGCACTGAGAAGTTGATAAAAAACTGCTTTGCAGAAACCTTCTCTATCTGTGTTGAAATGATAGCAGCAATGTAGTAAGATTTTGTCTTTCTTCTTCCTAGCCATCTGCCTCTTTTATTTGGAGTGGGAGAAAACAGACAGCAGCAATCACATTTCCTTTGGTTTTCCCGCATCTAAGCTTTTTCAGTCATGTTTCAAGGCTATCTTTGGCTGGGTTTCACCTCATCATTTTTATCTCCAGCAAGTTACCGCTACCGTAATTTTTTTTTTTTTTTTTTTTTTTGCCAATGTGCCCTCTATTTAATTTAATGTTGGTAAGGACAAAAAGACCAAGGGAACAAGGAGGCATTGGAAGGCCCAGCTCTCCTTTGCTATTGAAGATGTCTGTCCTACTGGTCCAGTGTGCCTCTTTTACTGAAAACATACTTGACTTACCTTAAATTRCTCTTCTTTATATTTCTTTGCTATTTCAGCTCTTCAGCCTCCTTATTCCAAGCTTAGCTATTCAGTTCCCAGTGATCAGCTGGTTTGCTTCTGCAGCTTGCAGTTGAAGTCTGGTTCAAACTATGAAAAAGAAGTGTCACCAGTAGAATGTGAGCAGGAATGCAAGAGGTGATGCAGTTTCTCAGTAATCAGTCTCTGTCATCAGAGCGTTGATTTCTCGTAGGCTAGATAACTACCTTTTTAATAGCATTTCTCCTGAACATGTTCAGAAAATGAAGATCTGTGTTGACAGTACAAGCTTCCTTTAAAAAAAAACTTGAACACCACCCCCCATCAAAAATATTGCAGCCCAATAATTTTCTGTCATGCATATTTTAATGAACTAGGCTAAGGTTTCAAAGACATCAGTCATCATATTGATACTGTAAAGCGTTTCCCAAAGGGCCTTATTTGCAGAGTTTTTGTTTTCAGTTCTTTMAGAATATCTCGATTTGGGTGCTGAAAACTTGAAGTATCCAAGAACCCTTGACTATTTTTAAAATCTTTTTGGCCTTCCAAACTTAACTTTAAAGGACAAAATCACAAACTCTTTGTGCATTTTGGTGCATTGTGTTTTGCTTGCACCTATCCTGGTGTGGTCTGACTTGCTGGGATCTCACTGTCAGGAGCATTTCTCCATAGACATATCCTCAAAGAACCAGGCTGCTAGYATGAATATGGTCAATGATTATCAGTAATTTACTCTTGATGAGATCAAGATCGTAGGATTCATTGTAAAACACTGAAATACCATCTGGCTGCTTTGAAGAATGAGAGTCACCCAGCATGCTGTCTGATGCATGCAGGTGCGTTGTGCTCTCATCMAAGTCCCCTGCTACCTTCTGCTTCTTGTCATACCTTCCAAAGCAAAAAGAGCCTGATTTTCATGGTACCTTGCAGCTTTCTGGCTGACTGGTAAACAGGAGTAATCAATGGGCAAAAATTTTTTTTTCTTACAGTATTAAGTTTAAGGTACTGAAAAAATGGTGGCTTCAGCTCCTGTATTTTTTTAATACTCATCTTACTTTAATTACTCACTTTCTTTTCTGATAGTTGTAAAACAAGATTTATTTTGATTGGTTTTGATATGAGTGCAATTTTAAAAATTACTATTAATCAATGAGCAGTGAGTCAAAATGAAGAATTAATTCAGAATTTCAAATAGAACATCTCTCAGGCATATTCATGTTTTAAAAAACATACTCTTTTGGCATCTTCTTTTACAGGAAAAATTAGGGCCAGTCCCCCCTCTACATTTTTTTAAATTCTGATGATTTTCTAGCAAATTATTATATTTTGGGAAATGTCGGGATTTTATGGAAGAAATTTTATTCACAAAGTAGAAATGCTTTATTTTTTTTTAATGCACTGTAGTATCCATAGAGAAAAATACATTTAAAAATTAACAAGATGTTATAACTACATAGGAATGACCAATAAATACTTCTTCTGAAAATATATTTAATATTTTTTCTTTAATTTCAATTATAGGGCTAGTACAAGAGACATTTATTGGCTATTGGAATACTTATTGACTGTAGCTATTAGTTGACTTCTTTTAATTCCACAGGCAGATTCTTGAARTCTCAATATTTAAACTGGGAAACACTGTAACAGAACTGGAAAAAAGTCTTAACAGTGTTGAAAATGAAGGTAAATGAATTACAGCATTCTTCCTAATTAATTAGGAAATATGGAAAGATAATTCTTTTGGGAAGGCCCTACAGAGGTTCAAAATTTTATTCTGAAATTTAAGTTTTCACTTTTCAAACATGGCTTTTACCTCTGTGGTGCTTCACATGCAAAACTAAGGAATACTACATATGGCCATGCGAGCTTTTTTTTTTTTTTTTTGTTAATTATTAATGAAACTGTGATAATATGAATTCATAGAGTTGGTTAATATTCTGACCACAGTAAGCCTAGTGAAAATTTTCCTTGATTTATATTTTCCAGCTCTTTTATATGCAAAGATCCTCATTATAAGGATTACTAAGTGAAGTCTCTTCAGTCTCCAGTTAGTTATATAAAACAGTTTTAAAAAATGCTTTTCCTTAAAATGACATGAACTAATCTGGGAAATATAATAACTCTTATTTGTTTTTAAGATAATGAATGGGAAACCAGGTATGAGACACAAGTAGAACTGAACAAACAGCTGGTAAGGCAAATTAATATTCTTCGAGATAAGGTGAAGCTTACTCGTGGAAATCCAGCAGGTAGAAATGGATATTCATAACTTTTTTCCAATAGAATTACTGAAAATAGGTCCCATTTTCTGCTTATTTATAGATAAACTGTCCACTATTCACACCTTTGATAAAATGCCTGTGGTAAGTACTGTGACATTTAGTTGACTTAACAGCAAATCAGAGTCTAAATGGACAATTTGTATATTGTTTTTACATGACAAAAATTAGCAGCAGCATGGTCTAGAAGCCAAAATAATCAGTCCTGCTTATGTTTTTATTGTATCTTATATGCAATTGCTTATAAAATTATAAAATATAGAGTAAAGTCCTTAAGTAGGAAAGACATARGACCTGAATGTTGGGAAGAATTATGTAGTGACTTTTTAACTGAGTGAAGGTTTTATAATTTTATCTGCAAAAATGTATGCAAGATGGAATAGCTGGACTAGATCTATGAATAAATGGGAAAACATTAAACCTCATAGAATAATTTAGTGTCTGACCTCTCTCACAGTAAAAAATGTCCTCAGTTGTGACCAAATAGAATTCCAGCTGCTACAGTCTTCCTCTTGTCCTGTTATTGGGCACTGCTAAGAARAGCCTGGGTCCTTCTTCTTCATTCCTTCCCATCACATATTTACACACACTATTAAGAACCCCTGGGCCTTCTCCAGGCTGAACAGTTGCTGATCGTCTCAGCCTTTCCTCATCTATCAGATGCTCCAGTCTCTTAATCATCTTCATAGCTCCATGTGGGCTTGCCCCAGGAATTCTGTATCATTCTTGTGTAGAGGAGTCTAGAATTGGACCCAGCTCTTCACATACGTCTCACAGGTGCTATGGATAAGGGTCACACTACCCCCCTTGATCTGCTAGCAACATCTTCCTAATGCARCCCCTGGCCACCCTTACAACAAGAGTGCATTGCTTTCTTGTGGTCACCTTGTTCACCAGGACTGCAGTCACTGTCTCCCAGGCTGCTTCCCAGCCAGCCAGTTAGCCTCAGCATATACTGGTGCCTCGGATTATTTCTCCCCCAGGGGCAGGATTCTGCATTTCATTCAATGTGATTCCTCTCTGCCTGTTTTGGCAGCTTTTTCAGGTCCCTCTGAATGGCAACATAGTCCTCTGTTGTATCGAACAATATCCCAGTTTTGTATCAATTGTGATAACCTYGATGAATAGTTGCAGTAACATTTTTCATAATACAGTTACAGGAAAACTCATTTTACATTAATCTTTTGCATCACTGAAAGAAATACCTGTTTTCATTTTTTAAATTTTACTTCTTAATGCACTCATGTCCTGTATTTCAACACAGCATAAAATATTTTTTCTGCAATCTTGAGGAGAAAATGGCAAAGAAAAAACCAAGCAAATATTATGGTCATTTTGTCTTCTAAGGCAGTAAATGAAGTAAAAATCGTTTCAGATTCAGAACTGCTTTTTCCATAGCCTGTCATCTGCTTAAATCTTAGACACATTTTCTGCTTCTTACCCACTTTTAGAAATAGGGAAGTTARATGAGGATGTGGTAATGCCTTGTAACACAAGCCAGAATAATGAACATTATGAAGAAGGACTGTTATGATTTTTGTTCCTCTTGCTTATAYTTACAGAAGTCTTACCATCTGACTTTTTGTATGCTTCAGATTCTTAAGATTAATGGGAGTTTAGTGACCCTAGAGGAGGCTGCATTCTCTGTTAGTGGGAAGGATGATTATCTGCTGTAAGCAGGGTATGARTAATTAACTTCTTTTTCTCATCTGATCCATGATTTTCAGACAGCCAACATTTTTGCCAGTTTTAGTGTTGTCCTAGAGACCATGGTGTTTTGTGGGTAGGCAAGATTTTTTCTTTAACAGCCAATTAAAAAGAGAACAAAATCTTTGCCATCCCACTTTCCTGTTTTACTGAGTTCATCTGAAAATGTAACTGGAATTATGTTCGAAGAAAACTCTTGAAGACTGATCTAGAAAATTTACAGCAGAATCTGCTTTGGATGATGTTATTCCTGTAAGCCTGTAAAGCACAGACTGGCGTGCATGCTTACAGTATTACAAGTATTTATTTCCATCCAATTGCTGGTACTCTGTTTACCAATCCAGGAGTATCTTGGAYAATCTCTTTACTTGCCAGGCAGTCCAGAAGACATTACCAGTGACACAATCCCACCAATCCAGTACATTTCTAATCCCTACTAAGTACTGCATTGCCTCCTCACCAATGAGCTATGGTTCTGAGAGGTTTGATTACTGTTCCGATAAAGAGAAGAATGCCAGCACAATTAAAAGATTCCTGCTGCCAGAAGGAATCTAGAAGATGGTTTGAAGAGTCCTAGGCTTGCTTAGTGAAGCTTGGGAAAGTCTGGAGCCCAATGTGCTGTGCCATGCAGTTTCAAGTCCTTCCTGCATTCTTCCMGTTTAGAGTTAATAAATCCTCCTGTTTGCTAGCCAGAAAGGAAAGAAAAGTGCTTTAGGGATTTTGTGAAATGTTTCATTTTTTCCTTGTTTTGGTTTTTGGGATATGGAAAGAACAGAAGAATATGGAGGCATTTTGTGGGCTTTGATGTTTTTTGTTTTTGTTTTTTTACTGAAGCTATCAGAAACATCAGTGTTTATTTACAGATACTCTTGGAGAATGCAGAGCTGCTTTTCTTTATATAGGTATAATTGTAGAAGATAAAGCTTTGATAAAAATACACAGATAATTTTGTGGTGTTTAAGCATTTACATTTGTTAAAATTCTTTTTGGGGTTTTTGAGAGTTGTTCAGGGGATTAGGGGAGAATATTTAGCTTCTTCATATATGAGAATAAAGAGCATATGTGAGTGGGTAGAAAAACAAAGAGTTTTCAGGCAGTCATCAATATACATTTGCTCAAAGTAAAAATGATGAGAGTGGGTATAAAAAGCATTGTGTTGTGTCTGTAAAATCAAAAGTAAACTATGATGTTCAGCTTTCAACTTGCAATTGCATATGAATAGGAAATATATTCCTATATGAAAATATACTTCCTATGTGTATTGCATAGGAAAAAGTTCTTCACTGAAAAGCTTGTCAAGCTCTGGAACAGGATGCCCAGGGAAGKGGTTGAGTCACCACCCCTGCAGGTATTGCAAAAACATGTATTGTGCCACCTCAGGACATGGATTAGTGGTACTGCTGGGATAATGGTTGGACTTGATAAAAAAGGTTGATTCTGTGATCGTGTGAAAGATTGAAAAGTGGTTCTTTCATCAAGATKATACAGTTTCAAGAACATGGCAGCAGTAGACAGTAGATTTTTTTTTTTGAGCAACGTATTTAGCAAATTAAATATTATTAACAAGTATTTATAACCTGTGTTCCCAAGAAACTTAGAATTTTTAATAGGGTTATTAGAAGGACCTCTAGTAGTTCTCAGTTTACTAAACAATTTCAGCTGTATTTAACAGGAGTTATCTCAAAGATACTGAAGAGATTTAGCTCGCTCAGCTAGTCATTTAAAGTTCTAGTATAGGAAATAGAGGGAGAAAAACGTCTGTAGAGTAATTCAATACATTTAGACATAGGTAGCATAAAATATTTTCTTGATGTCAAGCTCTACAGAGAAAATAATAATAAAAAAAAGATTAGTCATCAGGGACCCTGGCAGTGAGCGAGCTATAAAAACTGAATGAAAGAATACAAATGCAAATTCTGGAGTGATGAACAAGGAAGCACAGAGGATTTTCTGTGTTGATAAATTGCAGCAATTGTTGCAGATGTCTTGCACTATTTTTGCTTTAGAATTAGAATTGTACTGATGAATAATTTCTTGCTATTAAAAACACCCCTACACCATTTAAATATACAGTTATCATTCTGAAGTCTTTATACTGATATTAGATAAAACTTTTTTTTTTTTTTTTAAATTCAGAAAAATCATTTAGGTGTYACATAGCAGTAAATACAGAACCAATACGTTCAACACAGAAATTCTTGCTGCCATGGTTTAGAAARTATTTTTTGTGTACTGAGGGCAGATAAAAAAATGACAGACAAGCACAAGGGAGTTCCAGCAGTGAAAACTGTTTAGTCAGTAATTTCCTTTATGTCCCAATGTATAATACAAATATCATACAGTACTTCAGAAGTAATTACAGAAGGAATACATTCTCTCTAAACTATAACATGATGTGAATTTTGCTTGCTTCTTTTATACATGCTGCTTTCATTTGTTTGCATTTTTTTTCATAAAATGAGTTTTGGTTAAATACATGCTCTCTGTTAAGCATTTCCCATATAAGCAGAAAAACACCCCTGTTCCTTTCTCTCAGCATTTCTGCAAGAACGAATCCCTAAGACAGCAGCTTTAGTATGCAAATACTGAAAAGCATACTGCAAAATCAGTTCAGGGGCACACTCCTGATAGCATTGCCTTAGCAACGCTCTAGTTAAGATTAGCCCAGGAGTCAGGGCTTCTATGATAAATCACCATTTTTTTTCATAATGTCCAGCCCCATAGAGGACAAAATTCTGACATTAAGGGCCAGATACTTGCTTTGCAAAGCTGTCTTTCCGGAAGGACAGTGACCACAGAATTGATAGCCTTAACCAATCATCTCAGGGATTTTTCTGTCAGTTTTAAACTATAGGCAGAATGTGTTACAGTGTCACACTGGAGACATAAGTGATTGCAATATGAGTAAGGGAATCTTGGGTTTGTGAAGAAATGCAATGAAGACTTTGTATTTCAGTAGGTGTTGATAATTGCCCGTAGGGAACATCAGCGCTTATAATGGCAAAGGAAATGTTGACAGTTCTCCTAGCAAGTGATTGTTAAATGAACCTTGTTGCTTTTCCTGGATTAAGTCATCAGTGGCTGTATGGAAAGAAGAAATTGGGTATCCTGGTTTTTAGTGAAACTTGGAAGTATTTTGGAGAGTGTTGTCTCTGGTCTGATTACTCCAAGCTGTTATCCTCCCTCCTCAAAGACTTCTGCTTTCTACTCCTTCCATTTGACCCCAAATAAATACTTTGAATGCCTTCAAGAGACCTTTTTGATTTGGAATTTTTTCTTTTCCTTGTCGTGTTGGCATTAGTTGTTCCTCCTGGTGGCCTTGCGCAAACCAAGAGATTTACTTAAATCACTTTGTGGTGTGCCCAGAGGCAGAATAC